AGGGCAAACACCACACTATGCCACAGGGCAAACACCACACTATACCACAGGGCAAACACCACACTATGCCACAGGGCAAACACCACACTATGCCACATGGCAAACACCACACTATACCACAGGGCAAAACCTGTGGTAACTGAACCCTGTGTTCTGTGTAAACTGAATATTGTGTGAACCATAGCCCAGTGCTACTTGAAGCCAAACCCTATTAAACCTATCTTTATTTAACCTAAGCCCCTGCGTAAAACAAACCCTGCGTGAAGCAGACTCTGTAAACCAAACCCTATGTGTTAACTTAAATCATGTGTAAACTTGCAGCAAATCCAAATCATTGTCTTAATTCATCACACATATCTCACATGTGTTGACATGTTTCACTGTCATATATACATTCAGTGTATATTAGGATACTGGGAGAAACAAATTTCATATGCAATAATTTGTTATCATTCATCTGAATTTGTAATAATTTTCTCTTTATTGACAGACTGACTCCGGAAAAGGGACTTCGCTTTGTTGAAGAGCTTGCTAACATCATTGGTATTCCGCAGAGTTCATTTTCTGACATCAGGTAATTACATTTTTTTAAAAACTTTATTGGTAATTAAGTTTCACCTTTCCTTATTTTCGCAGTTTTCTGTTTTGTCGGTTTGTTACTAATCAGTCGAATACTTGTTTATATTTGCGGTTGTCTGTTTTCTCGGTTAGTTATTATTCGAACTGTGGTTTATATTTGCAGTTGTCTGTTTTGTCATTTAGTTATTATTCAGTCGATCTCTGGTTGGACTATTAGGTCAATTCTGTGATGTACTTCTAGATTAAATACTTTGCATTTCATTCTAATGTCATCTCTTATATGAATGCATTTTGTTCTATGCTGTGATCAAACTGTTACATGACAGACACGCTTTCAAGTTTTTAAAGATTTTTCATCTTTGATCACCAGTCCATATAATGGCATATGTTGACCCCTAGTGTTCAAACTAATCTGAATATCTGGACACAGCTGTTGTAATGACTTCATTTCATGTTGAATCAATGATGTGATGCAATGGAGATAATATATATTGTCTATACAGTAAAACGAATAACGAACGAACAAATGAATGAATGAACAAAT